CCAAAATCAAATTATTTGAGCTCTTTATCTTATCTACATAATCGGTTCATTTGAGTCCATATTTGTTTTTCCTAATGAATTTTATTGGAAACATCTAAGACAAAGTTCTTATCTAAATTAAACATAATTGAGTTATCTTTATGTCTCTATAAAAGAGCAATACAGTGTTCCTCTGATATGCATAATATGTAAATAAACCTTGCAAATGTCTTACTATGTAGACTTTTGGACGCATCTGGACGGTGATTGGCTCATCACCGGGCAGGTAAGAGCTTGAAAACAAGTTCTAGAAGCAGCCGTGGTTTCCATGGAGATCAGTCATGTGGAGACAGCGCTGTGTGATGTGTGGCATGTTGTGCACTTCATCGGCACCGCTGTTGTTTCGGATGGAGGATTTCACCTGTGCTGTTTTGATAGGGTGGTGTAACCAGCTTCGGACCTGATGAGGGAAACCCGGACAGAGGATGGCATCTCTGTCCCTCATGCAGCCACGGGATCAATCGACAACGTCATGGAAATCACAGAGGCAGCCAATAGATTTGTGCGAGACCTCAAAAGTAGTTCAGTTGGATCAACATTTCCTCTGGATTGTCAGCCAATTTCAGTGTTCCCTGCTGTTTGCTTGCGTACAAGCAGACACGTCTCACAGAACCACTGCTCATCTGTTTGGAAACCCTGAGGCCAGAAACTATTTTCTCATCAGGCATCCAGGTGGATATTACAAGCTCTCTATGGATTGAGGGCCCAGCTGAGAGATTATCTTTTTTTTTTCTTCTTTCTTCTTGGACAAAATTGGATTGCAAACAAGATTAATTGCACGATTCATGGTCATTCCATAGTTCTTGATTCCAGGATCCATTCCTAAAACCCTGAAGATTGGACTGGGATGCAGTAAAAACTAATTTTGCATCAGTTTTTTGAGTTCTACATTATTGACGGGAGAAGGTACAAAATAGTGGCACGAAAGAGGGTTGCATCCTGGATGATCCGGAGGTACCAGGTGTGGAGATGACAGACGTGGGGAAGGAGAAGGACACGAGCGGCGGCTCCAATGTGGACTCTGGAAAGGGGTGTTATGGGGATCAGGAAAACCCTCTGGGGAGCTTCGCCGTGGACGGCTTTGAGGAGTTTGTGCTGGATTTTGATGATTATGACCTTCTGGAGTCCATCCACTCGCACCTTGGCTCCCCAGTCGAACCGATCCGTAAGTGTGCTTACTGTTAAAAAGTTGGCAGCTTGGTGAAGGGTAATATTTTCCAGCCACCTTCGTTTTTGCAAATGTCACAGCGACCTCCACTTTGCTTCACACTTACATCATTTTTCGACTGAATTTTGCCATTGTCTGTCTTTGACAATAGTTTAGGTTCATAAATGGCAAAAAGCATCGAAGAATGTCTAACAGGCGGCTTTTGATGATTTTCCATTCACATGACTGCGGTTGTGACATTGTAAAAAAATGCACTCCACCCTCTATAGATCTTGCTCGCATTGAAAATTGATTGCTGGGAATCTGTTTTATTGATCCTGTTGGGAAATACAAGCTAATTAGTGTCAAGCCGAGTCCTTGCAAACAGATTGCTGATATGAAACATATCATGGCCTCCAGTGATGTGGCATGTTTGAGAAAATGGATTATGAAGTTCCAGATCCCCTCCTGTTGACACATACATGTGCTGCCAAACCTCCACACGCACACACGCATCTCAGGCCAGAGTCATAATACACAATAACTTGATTCCGACATAAAGTACAGTGATTTTTATTGATATCTCTTATGTATTATGGTTGGAGGTTTGCTCTTCTGCAATTAATTGGGCCTTGAGCACTTGTGGCGAAGCAATTTTTGTGTTAGATTTTCTTTTTTACATTTTGAATGTTTGAAAACTTTCTTTGACTTACACTCTAGTCTAAAAGCATGAAGTAAGATAAAAAAAAAAAAAACTTTTATCCAGCAAGAATGCATTAAAAGATCAAAAGTGTCAGAAAGGACTTTTACGTTGTTAAAAAATCTATTGTTTTCAACATTGATAATAATAAGAAATGTTTCTTGAGCACCAAATCATCATATTAGAATAATTTATGAAAGATCATGTAACTAAAGACTGGAGTAATGATGCTGAAAATTCAACTTTGTCATCATTACAGGAATAAATTGCATTTTAAAATGTATTGAAATAATTCAATTCAACCTTGGTGAGCAGAAGAGACTTCTTTCGACAACCTTAAACAATCTCACTGGCTGCATACTTTTGAATGTGCATTTGAGTTTACGTTGATAGTCAACTGTGGCATCATTGCAATATTTGCATATTTCGAATGGCCTTCTTTCTTCTATCTATTTGCATACTGAGTGGTCTTGTCATTACACTGCACCGTATCTGATGTGCTGCCGACAGAAGATAATGTCATTGTAATATTTGCATAAGAATTAGTCATCTTTCTTACATCAGCCACAGACTGAATCAATCATCAATCATTTAATACTCCATATTTTAGACACAATATAACTAGTTCCAAAAGAATCCAAATTAAGATCATGGTTTGTTTGTTTTTTCAAGCATTCATTGTAATTCCCTGAAAAAAAGCAACCAGTACATTATCCATTCTCTTTTTGTGTTCTACAGAAGAAAGAAAGTCATACAGGTTTTCAACATGAGTAAATAACCACCAGATTTGGAGAAACTGTTCCTTATATAAAACATGATGGGCCTGAACTATTCCAGTTTAAACACTGCTTTTCACTAAGAAGCATACTTATATTTTGATAAACAGTAAAACCCTCAGGCCTGATGCTTTTGTCTTTGTGTAGACTGTTTACTAGTGAGTTTCCCTCAAGGTCTTTGTCTGTCTGTGATTCTCTCTGCAGTTCCTCTGGGAAAGGTCTGTGTGAAGAGCAGACAGACAGTCTAGCAGAGATCAATTTCCATCTTATCTCTCAGTCTCGCTGTTTCTTTTCAGCTTCAATAGGTAACGCTAACAAAAAAAGACAGATCGAATGCTTGAACTGAGATTTAAAATCAGCACTTTTGTGCGTCAAACACACGTTTGTGGCCTGAGTTGGTTTCATCCTGTGCTGTTTTGATGAAAACTTGGCTGTTTTGGTCTCCTCTAGGATTTTTGCTCTCTTGCCATGAAAAGCACAACCAGAGTACAGCCAAAAGGCACGGCCACCATATTGTTAGCGCTCTACCCCTGGGAAAAGGCCCAGCACCAGTGTGTGCACTTCAAATTTTTTATGAAGGGGGGGTGGGGGGTGTTTAGATGCATGAGCAACTCTAGGAGAGAAAGAATAAAAAATGAAGTTTGTTTACCGAACATCCCCGGGCTACTGGGACAACACAAACCAGCTGAGGCCTTGGGCGTCCTGGCAGGCCTCAACCCTTGGAGAGCCCCGGCCTTTTACTTGGCACTCAGAACAGCTGGAGAGAGAGGGTTTCTCATAATACACCCCTTCAATTATCCGAAATTCAATAAAAACCTCGGTTTGTGGGCTAAAATGATACAATATTAAATCACAGCAATTTTGTTTGGAAAGGCCTAGCATCCAAAATACGCCTCTTAGTTGCGCTCAGCTGAGAAGGCCTCTGATTCTCTTGTTTTTCTAGGCACGCTTTTATTCTCAATCACACAAATGTATGCAATTTCATTGCTACAGTTGAGTAAAAGCTATGTGAACCCTTGGATTTACCATGTACTTCTGTATAAATCTTATGGCCATTTGTTTTGTCATCGACTGATGAATATCAAGGCTTGTGAGCGTTTTTTTTAACTCGCTTTGTCTTTATGCAAGTTCTTAATGTTCTGCAATGTTTAACAATTCTTAATGTTATGTCTTCTAAAATCTCTTTTTCCAGGCATGGATCAGGCAAAGCTTTTTGCGAATAGTATTATATCCAAATTTGAGAGTTTTTTGTATTGCAGTACAGCTCTGACCAACACCTCCAATCTGGTCATTGTGTCCCTGTCAAGTCTCACACTTGCTGGTTTTGCACCTGAAAACAGGTCTACTTACATGATGCATTTCCTGTATTTGGCCCAAGTGTTCAAGTGTGTGTACAGTGGAACTTTTTGGTTACCTGATGGGAGACACTATTGGTATCGGTGCATCCCTACTTACAACATAGCATTGTAATGCAAGTCAATGTTAAGTAAAGTTCTTACAGAGTAGCGCTGAAAGGGATAGTTCACCCAGAAATTCTGTCATCATTTACTATAGATATTTTGAAGAATGTTGGTAACCAACAGTTGATGGTAGCCATTGACTTCCATAGTATGGATTTTTTTTTTGTAATTTTTTGGTGAACTATCCCTAAACTACTAAATTTCTGTTCAGTGGTACATATTAAACAGACAGCACTCAATACTAATTTCTGCACTCATAGAATGTGCAACACTTTATATTTATTACCAGATTATACATAATATCTGAATGATGGGATATGTTCAGCCTCAAATAGTATGTTGGAAGTGTTTTTATTAATCTTTTGAACTGGCTATTATTTTTATATTTTCAGTTTTACTTTTTATTTTAGTTTCATTTATAGTCATTTTGTTATGTACTTTTGCCATTTTTTTCATTACTAATTAGGTTTAATTTATTTTTATTTCAGTTAAAGTTTTAGTTCCGTTTTAGTTTTTATTTACGTCTAATTAGCATTTTATTTCAAGGCAACATTACTCATTTTCATTTAGTTTAAGTTTGATTTTATTTCAGCTAAACAAAAATGTTTTAATAATAGTTTTAAAGTTTATAATAGTTCTAGTTAATGATAATAGCCCTGCTATGAATGTTTACACAGTGTGTTCAATAAAGACACAAAAATGTATGCTTGTGTGTTATTTGTTAAAGCAAACTGTGTGTTTTGACCAGTTTATGCACAAAACCATGGTAAATTCAAGGGTTCACTTATTTTATCCCCCACATCTGTAGCTGCCTTTACAAACCTGACAGTTCTATTTATTGTATTTACCTAAACCTTTCTCTTCACTTTCACCTTAAGGTCACCGTTTTGAGGACAATCCTGGGGTTAGACGTCACCTCGTCAAGAAATCATCACGCTGTCAATTACCACGAACCAGCAATAGCTCACCTCCTCTGTCCAGCCTGAAGAGGAGGAAGAGGATGGACAAGAAAACTCATGAGGTGAGTGCTGAGCTTCCTAACCGCACAGAGAAAAGAAAAATGAGACCTAGTTTCACACAGCCAGACGTACAGTTTTTTTGCTCACTTATACTAAAGTAAACTGACCTTTGTTATGTTTTAATATGGCATTTATGAGAAGATTTATCAATAATAGAACAGTGTGGAAAAATTATTCAAATAATAGCATGGCAGACTCTCACAATTATATAGTAAACACTGAAAAACTAGCCGAAAACGTGTATTGATTTTGAGATTCTGTTTTGCTCCTCAAGACCAAGCTGAAAGTAAAGCCTTTGTTTTCCCCAGACTGACATTGATACTGATGATGAGGTGGTTTTATTAGAGATAATCAATGTGGAGGAGCAGAAGAGACCCCAAATTTGGTGATCTTCTCTTTGCTGATATCTATTGATCCGTTTCATCCAGTGGGCTTCAATAAAATCAGCTGGATTAATTACATAAGGCTCTTAGTCAGTCAGCACTGGAGTCTCTGCTATTCATGTGGCTGCATCTGCTGATCTAAGCTCTTAATCAACCAGCGGAGGAGAATCAGTTGTCTCGCTGGAGTTCAGGATTCATGTAGATGCATAAAACATGTCTCAAAAGTCCTCCATAGAGCACACTCTTTAAGCACTTTGGTGCACTTTACTTTTTTATTTTTTTTTATTTTAACAGTTCCTTCAGTATTCTTCATGCAGCAGAGATGAATCAACATGCAACTTGGGATTCAAAGCAAAAGCTATTTGGGAAAAAAATACTTAATGTTGTAATTAAGGCAATAAACTACTCCCCCATTGCAAATGACATTAGAATTTTCAGTACGATAAAAAAATTATTTACTTCAGTAGTCATTTAATTCAGTATTATAAGTGGTTTTATAGTATCTCTTAATATTTTGAATTAGCTTTTATTTTTATATTTTCCATTTTAATTTTACTGTGATTTTGTGTTTTTAAATATTTTTAAATTGAGCCTTAATTTGCTTTAATCTGTTGTAGTTTATGATGTCAATTTAAAACTTATTTGATCTAATTTTTGTTTCATTTATTTCATTTTTATTTTATTTTTATTTATTTATCTTTTTGTTAGTTGTTAAGGTAACATTTATAATTATTTCTTAAGTATAATTTGAAGTTTTTACTCTAATATTTATATTTTGGTTTCAGCTTTATTTCAATGAATGAAAATGATTTTTAAAATAGTAAAACTAAATTTAGCTTGCAGTAACAAAACTGATTTACTTAATCATAAGTGTAAAAATACCAACTTTTCTGAATATATTTATAATTTTTATTACTAAATGTCTAATCATATACGGAGATATAAGTAGTTGGAGAGTGAAGGTAGACTTATTTGATGTAATTTGCAGTGCTTCATGGGAGTGAAAGATTCATGCTGGCTTCCATTGTAACAACAACTCTGATTGGTTGTCATCTTTTTGTTGATAGCAAAGCTCTCAGCACTGAGAATTCGGTAATGAAACCCTCATAAAACGTTTGTTTTATGAAACTGAAATTGACTGAAATCTCACTGACTTGTGGCTTCAGCAGAAGCGTAAATCATCACATAACAACCTCAGAGCTCACGGTAGGTCTGTCTTGAAAGGTTTTTAGTCATTTTGATAGATCCATCACCTGTGTTTTTACTTTAGAATGAAAAATACTAGAACGAAAGAAGATTTATGATATCGCTGTCATACTTTGTTTGCAAAATATTTCAGTCTTGCTCCCCTTCCAACCAGAGCTCTACTTGTTTGCCTATTTCCTAGAAATTAGCTCCCGGGGAGCATTTCCAAGATGGCTGCCAAGTGAACTGAATTGCCTTGAAGTAACTTTGGTTACGATTCATTAAAAGTGCTTTATGATGTGCGTTTGACACCGTGTTCTCCGTAGGTGTTTGTGGAGCTCAATGAGCTGATAGTGGATAAGAACCAGGAGATGCGCTGGAAAGAGACGGCACGTTGGATCAAGTTTGAGGAAGACGTGGAGGCAGAGACGGATCGCTGGGGTAAACCGCATGTGGCCTCGCTGTCCTTCCGTAGCCTGCTGGAGCTCCGTAGGACCATCACACATGGTAAGAGTCGGCTGCTCTGCCAGCCCACTCAGAGCCTGTGATCCTGCTCCAATCCTAACATCCACGCACTTGACAAACCAGTGCTGTATGACTGACAGAATTCAACTGGACACTTAAATTAGATAAATGGATTAAACCCTCTTGGGCATATCCACTTTTTGACCATGAAAAACAGATTATTTTCAATGTCAGGGTAACAAGGTAAACATTAGCATTAGTTTCAAAAAAGCATGACAAAAAATTCAGTCAAAACACATCAGTGAGAACGAAGGTTTTGGTAAGTTTCAGTTCCTGTGGTTGTGGAACCAAAATGACAACCCTGACAAAAGGCATCTTTCATGGACGACAGTGATAGACTGACATGAGGTTTTGCAAAAACAAGAAAAAAAGTACAGTGGCCATTTAGAAGTAGGCGGTATGATCAGAATATGAGTAATTTGATATCATGGCAACAGTATATGTCATGATAGTTGTTTTTGTTGAGCATTTGTTTGAAAATGGCGCTATAAGTACAGTATAAGTAAAGTAACGCATTACTTTATAAAAAGTAACGTAACTCCATAAAAAGTAACGTAATTAGTATTAGTACTTTTAAAATTACTTTTATATATATATATATATATATAAACATTGTTTTATAATTAAATGCCTAAAAAACATATTTATACTCCATCAGAAGATTATTTGAATTGTGGCATTTGAAGTGAGAATATGTCTTTAGAATGATCCCACAATTTGGCTTCTTTTGCATTATTCCGTTATGTAAGCTTTAACGCATATATGCCAATATCATAAACGTGGGGTTCTGTTACCCAGGTGCCATAATGCTAGATCTGGATCAAACCACACTCCCTGGCATCGCCCACTTGCTGGTGGAAACCATGATAATCTCGGACCAGATCAGAGCAGAAGACCGAGCCAACGTGCTGCGAGCCCTGCTGCTCAAACACAGGTTAGTGGGGCTCAGAAATCAATAGTCCAAACAAAGCTCATATTGATCTTCTTTGCTGTGGGCCTTGATGTCAATGTCATTTGACACAGCTGCCTGTATTGGTTTCCTGCTAAATGAAGTGGTGTGATTACATAACAAATAGACTTCATATGACAGCGCACCAGGCTCATGCCACTGGAGGTTTTAATGACATGTTGCTATTGCAGCTGCAGAGACATCAGATACTGAGGGTGTTTAAAGGAATAGTTCACCACAGCATTGTTAATGTTTACTCATTCCTATTACACTCTATTAAACACAAAAGGAGATGTTAAACAGAATATCTGAGCTGCTCTTTTACCATGCAAGTTATCTTATTATGGTCCGTCCTCATACAGAGCTATCTTATGATTTCAGAAGACTTGGAGGATAGTGTACAAGTTACATGGTCTATTTTTGTGGTGCTTTTAAGGTGCTTTTTTGGAGATTTGCCTTATAAATCACCATGCATTCGACATATTAATTTCGTTTCTTACCGTAAAAACATATAATGCTGGGTCAGAATGACATGAGGGTGAGTTTTTGATTTTAGGGAAATTATCGCTCTAACTATTTAACTAAGTTAATGCTGTGTAAATGCAATATTTGGTATGGCTCAGACAGCCTCCTTTCTTGAAGGATTTTGAAGTACCATGTGTTTTCTTTGTTAAGCTCAGCTCAGCCTCTGGATCTTACTCTGAGGTCAGAACCATACTCTGAGTACTAACAAAATTAATATCGCATGGCCTCCGCTACAGAAATCTGGGCTGCATTAATAGTTTGAAGCAGTACCTTTTCTAACCACATTTGTATTAATATTACAAAAGATATTCATACAGTAGCTCCAAAAAGTTTTGGGCACTCAAGCCACACTTTAAAATGTGTGGATGTCATTGCATTAGATACATACTATCAAAGTAAGTGGAATCAACAAACAAATGATGCTTTTCTCTGAACTAGCTTTAGTTTCCTGATCTATTTTTACAATGACTTTTAATTAACTGATTTTCCTGTGATTTGTAGTGGTTGAAACTTATTTTGTGAATATTTATTGCTTGATGCTAATGCTATATATATATTTTTTAGGGATGCACCGAATTTTCGGCCGCCGAAAATTATCGGCCGAAAATGCCATTTTCGGTGTTCGGCCGAAAGAGAAAAAAATTATTGTGAAAAGTTCTTTAAAAGTGTCTGGAATGCAATAAAGTAATTTTTAAAGCTGTTTTTAAAACATTTGCTGCATGGATTAAAAAAAAATAGGCTAATAAATAATTCACACAAAATTGCGTTGCAACAAATCCTTTAAATTTTAAGGTATTCAGAACAGAGCAACATAAAAATCAGAAAATATAAGCAGCTATACAAATATAGGACAAAGTTTTACATATATGCCATTATATATATATTTTATTTTTTTTGTATAGAATTATAAAATAAAACACAAATTATAATGAGGCCTGTTTTAGGCTTTTCCTTATTTTTATATTTTAGACATCCATCAATTATGGTGATGAAAAAAATGACTGACCATCTCCTCATTGGACATGCCTTTAGAGAGAAATGCATCTTTATGGATTACATAATGAAAGAGTTTCTATTTTCCACTTTAATTATTTCGTTTTAAAGTAGTAATTTAAAGCTTTCAATATATTTTTATCATGTCTGTGAGGCAATTCGCTGAGTTTCGATTCATCATTGTGAAGCGCTCCTGTTCAAGACCAAGACGGCAGAAAGCGCATCCTGTTTGTTTTATAAAAGCACAACGTTTTGTTGATATTGTGTGTGCACACAAATAAAAGTAGACCCTTTACAGTTTAGAATGATGTATTACTCTTACCTTTATGAGCAAAAATGACAGCGTATTTTAAATTGTTTCCACTGTTAGAAAAAAATGCAAGTAATCGCGCTGGCGCCTCCATGTCCTGCAGAGCGCACTTGAGCTTCCACTCTCCACAGAAACGCTTGGATATGCGTCTAACAGCGCACATTTATATAGGTTAAACATTTAAACTAACTTTGTGACATGCTTGAACTGTTTTATATTTATAGATTTTATTTTAGGCAAGTCGTGATGATTTGAGAAGGCTTGATCAAACATAGGCTATGATCAACTCACTGTCTGCCGCTTGGTCGTTAGAATGAAAAAAAAAAATCAGCTCTGAAGGGGTTAAAAAAAAACGTACATTCAACGAACAAAAAATGCTCCAAACGTTTCTCTAAATTAACTTTATACAAAAACGAAAACAAAATATAATCACTTTTCGCGCTGGCGCCTCCATGTCCTGCAGAGCGCACTTGAGCTTCCACTCTCCACAGAAACGCTTGGATATGCGTCTAACAGCGCACATTTATATAGGTTAAACATTTAAACTAACTTTGTGACATGCTTGAACTGTTTTATATTTATAGATTTTATTTTAGGCAAGTCGTGATGATTTGAGAAGGCTTGATCAAACATAGGCTATGATCAACTCACTGTGTGCCGCTTGGTCGTTAGAATGAAAAAAAAATCAGCTCTGAAGGGGTTAAAAAAAAACGTACATTCAACGAACAAAAGATGCTCCAAACGTTTTTCTAAATTAACTTTATACAAAAACGAAAACAAAATATAATCACTTTTCCATTACATACAAAACTGAACTATTTAAATAGCTGAAACAGTAGTATAAGCTGTTTTGGGAGAAGGGGAAAAAAGACGGGCTCGGGTCGGACTCGGGCCGGTAATTCTGATAAGCTGTCGGACACGGGCCGGGCTAGGACCTATATTTGAGGCCCGTGCAGGGCTCTAATCCACTTCATCCAACGCTGTTTTGTTCTCTGTTGTTTTCATCTGTGAGCATGCTCTTGATAGTATTTTACCATTTTGTTGAGTTTAAAACGTGTGACACGTTCGTTCTGCTCCCACTGACCATTCAGTCAAATTTAGGCATCTCTTTTCTTCAGTGAGTGCAACAAAAGTTTAAAAACCAGTTCTGCTTTTATATCATTTAAGGGATATTGGAACTGCTCAGATATGCGTATTTTTGGTCAGCTAGAGGGATTCACTTTGCCAGGCTATAAAATATACGCACAGTTAAACGTGATGAAATCAAAAACCAGATTAAACCTCTCTACAGCGTTTCCCATCATCTCACATGCAGTTTTTAATGGGAAAACCTGTCAAATTAGTCTCAAATATGTATTTTTAATGTGGAAAAAAATACATCAAGGTGCTCTAAGTTAGGTCATTAGTTACTCAAGCTTTTGGAAATGTTTTCAAACACAATTCAATGTCACACCTTGTCTCTTTGTTTTCTTTGTGTGTTTAGTTTGGCTGGAGCATAACTAGATCTCAAATGAGGCTTAATGAGTGTGCCGATGTCAAGCGTTGGACACGGTTGCGGTGACGTGTCTAACAAAGCTGGGCAGCCACTCTTTATTCTTCACTTTTTTCAGGACGCATAGAAGCACCCAGAGCAAACCAAAATTAGTCTTTTGTAAAAAACAATAAAGGCATGTATTAATTCATTGGACTGCCTCTGCGGTCGATTTTTAGAGTTCGTAATCTGTTTAAATATTCCCTGATGAATGTTGTTTTTCTGTTGTCTTTAGCATTTTTTTTTACTGATTGCTTTGGCACGTGTTTCTTCGAGCGAACAGGGAATGTGGTTTGGTTTTGCAGTTTGGATTCTGATATCCTGCCATGTTGGGTTTTGTGTTTGCTTTGCAAATATTGCAAGCGAAGATGGAAAATTGCCTTTTTGGACATTGATAAGCAAGGAAATTGCTGTACCCGTGGAGCTAAATAAACACGAGAGCAGGGATATTTGTCTCACAGAGGAGAACAAATCAACTCGAATAGCTTGACAGATTAAAGAAGTCATAACATTTTCACTATTAAAGGCATAGTTCACCCAAAAAGAAAATGAAAATACTGTAATTTATTCACCCTCTTGTCATATGACCCATATTAACTTATTTCTTTCAATTTAACTTATTATTCATTCTTCTGTTGAAAACAAAAAGTAAATGTTTTTAAAGAATGTCCTGGCTGCTAATTTTTAGTTTAATGAAGGTGAATGACAACATTGTGACAAACAAAATTTTGGCTGAACTATCCCTTTAATGCCTCGTGTTTATAGCCAAAAAAAAAGAAGTTTTTACTTAATCAGTATTTTCATCTTTCGTCCAAAAAGATGTTAACATCCATAAAACAAGCTAAATTTACTTAAGAAGAAAAATATGTGAGCTTATAAGATTTGTTTTCAGAGAATATATATTGAATTTTCTTAACCCATTACCCATTAGCAAACTTTTTTTTTTCTTATTTCATGCATAAACCACTCTTTTTATCTAATTTTTGTTGGATGTTTTGCTTATAAAAATCACTCATTCAATCTTTTTCATTATTGTGTGTGTGTGTGTGTGTGTATGTGTGTGTATATATATATATATATAGAGAGAGAGAGAGAGAGAGAGAGAGAGAATATGTGACCCTGGACCACAAAACCAGTCATAAAGGTATAATTTTGACCCATACAATGTTTTTTTGGCTATTGCTAAAAATATACACCAGCGACTTAAGACCAGGTCCAGGGTCACATTTATCTTATTTGCCGACTTTTTGTGCATTTAACATTCTGACATGAAAAATTTCTCACTAGATTTATCAATACTTTCTCTTGTCCAGTCACCCCAATGATGAGAAAGAAGGCCTTTTCCATCGGAACCACCCTGTCACCAGTCTGGGTGGCTTCCGTCACAACCACAATCACATTCACGACACCAGCCTGCCCCTGGTGTCCCAGGACCACGAGGAGATGCACGACAGCAAAGCGGCAGAACATGACAAAGAGGTGCTTGTGACATTATTTGTGAGTTGCTTGCTTCTTGTGTGCATGTCGTAGAAAGAACTCAGGCTTCTAGATAATTGCCGCCAAGCTTACTGGGCCAGAGGTTGTCACCTGGAGGACACCAACTTTGACTTTTGTGGTAGCCCTTGGTCCCTTCAGGGTGCATTGCTCTGGAGACCAGCACCCAAGAGATGTGATGTAAATGTTTGGTGGGTTACAACCAGCTCTACTGAGGAAAGAAATAGCTTAGACTAGCCTACAGTGGTTCGCTGGACCTAGTTGACCAAAAATCTGGTCAGGCTGGTTTGTTTTGATCATTTGAGAAGGGTTTGGATACTTGTCAGCTGGGTTGACCAACAAAACTGAACATCAGCTTGGAAAACCAGCTTAACCAGTTTTAACCAACCTAAGATATCCACTTTCAGGCCCACACAGAATCAGATCACTGTGGAAAGAAATGGAACATTTGTCATTCCCAAAATTCTGTTGCATTGTTTTTTTTTGTTTTAAATTAAACATTTTGGCTAATTTGATTATGCTCTTAGCTACCAATAAGAGTGTAGCTCTGTACTGAACACATTTTACCCTATTTAAATACATTCTACAGAAACCCACAGGTTTTCAGGTAAAATCAATGAAACTGCAAAAAATGATTTTCTTATTCAGTATTTTGTCTTTTCCACTTCAAATATTTAAAATACATTTATTTGAGAAGCAAAATGACATAATATATTAAGTTTAGAGTTTTTGCTTACAACAAGAAACAATCGGCCAGTTGGGTAAGAAAAATCAACAAATTTTTCCATTTGAATTAAGTTGTCTTACCCCATTGGCGGATATTTTTTCCTGCTTTAAACAAAACTCACTTAATTCTTATTTCTTTTAGAAAACAAGACTTGTCAAGATATATAAAAAAAAACATCAATTATTTTGCTTAGATGTACAGTATCTTGATTTAGATATTTGAACTGGAAAACAAGACAAAATACTAAGCAAGAAAATATTTTTTTGCAGTGAAAACACATCTGCACGTTCGGTCTGGGCCTGGTTAGCAGCACTGCTAATGCTTAGATCATGTAAGCTGCTTTGCCACATGTTCAGGATTAAGAGTAATAGTGAGTTTACAGGTGCTTCCAGTTAAACTTTTGATACATTAGCTGTGAAACTATGAATGTTCCCCATGGCTAAAAATGTTGGCACATTCGAAACAGCCCATATAAAAAGTGAAGACGTATTGTGTTAAATTGATTTAAAGTGATTTACCATTCGCTTTTCCACTTTGTCACCTGGATATGTAGGTTTAGATTTACACTCGGTGATACAAAACAGGCACAATGGTTCATTAAAATTCACGAAACGTACTCGCACCCCATCACCCGAACACATGAGCGAAACAGTCGTGTGGAACAATAAACAATCGGAGCGAGGGCAGCTATGCATGCACTATCTGCCAAAGCTTTTCTGCCACAGCTTGAGGCTGATGTGTACCGTTCATATGGCACTAACTATGTTCTTCTGTCAACAAAAGAAAAACCTCCACCCTGTCCCAGCTGAGGGACTCGCTGCTGCCAGATCTATGAAACTCCTGGCAAAGATTCCCAAGGATGCCGAGGCCACTGTGGTCTTAGTGGGTAAGCAAAGTAGCGTTTCGTTCCAGCGTTTGTTGTTTTCAGGTCCAGAGATGATGTTGAGTCATTGCACCCAGAGTTTTCCAATAGTGTCTCAGTCAGCTAAGGGAAGATGAATGCTTTCGGTTGTGTTTGATTTCTGTCACTGGATTTTTTACCGCAATAAATGTGTTTATAGGATGTGTGGAGTTCTTAGAGAAGCCTGCGATGGCCTTTGTCCGGCTCAACGAGGCTGTGCTGCTGGAGTCCATTCTGGAAGTCCCCGTCCCCGTTCGGTTCATCTTTGTGCTGCTGGGCCCCACGCAGACCAACATGGACTATCATGAGATTGGACGCTCCTTCTCCACCCTCATGTCCGATAAGGTTCATCTTACATGCAATATATATCACGGTTTGTAGATTATTAGGGCCAAGTAACAAATATGTGAATAATTGGTCCCTATACTAAAGTGCTACTGTTCGTTATTTACTTGATTATTCGTTATTTACTAGGGTTTTAAAAAATATTTTTCACTCACAATTTCTACCTGATAAATAATTTCATATTTAAGTAACTTGACATAAAATATATAAAAATGCCCAAGTGGTGGTGCATGTAAATAAGAAATATCTTGATTTTTAGCTGTTGCTTTGTCCTGTGAAAAATATCCTGGCTCATTGGTTGCGAACCACTGTTACAGTGCCAAAAATGGCTCAACGTTGTATTTTTGTGTTTGCTTTTTCTTATGGTTCACTGGGTCATGGTGTTCAGTTCAGACTAGATCTTTTGCCATTTGGGATTTTAACAAATAATATTTTCACTAACACCTATAAATTTTATCCAGTCTTCTCCAGAATAGTGACAGATGATCTTGAGACCAAGCCACACAATCTCAGAATGGATTTTTTTTCTCATTGTTCTGTAAACCTGTAATGAATTGTGGTGGGACTGGCCAACAGGAATGGACGATATATATCTCTGCAGTGCTTAGGCCAGAGGTGCTCATTCCTGTTCCTTTAGATCTACCTTCCTGCAAAAAGTTCACCAAACACACCTAAACCAGTTAATTAGGTTCTCCAGGAACAGAAATGAGCACCCTGGGCTTAGGCAAATTTGGGGGGGAAACTAGAGTATCAGTGCCATCATGTTCCTAAGAGTGCGTAGTTCTTGTTTCATTACATAAAAAATGAAATCCAAATGCCTTGGCTTGAAATTACACTTCTGGTTTGGAGTCAGTTTTGAGTCACGTTTTGCCTTATTACCTGTCCACCATTTTGAATTTGATTGAAAACAGTTTTTCATTGGTACTTCTGCAAATTTTGCCCAATCTTCAAAGTTGGGTCAGATGATCTCCAGACCAAACCACACAAAGGTCACTGAATGGATTTTTGATCTTCTTTCCCATTCTCCAATAAATCTGTAAGGAATTTTATGGCAAAGCCGCAAAGTAAAATGTACGTGTATTTCTCTAATTTGGCAAACTGAAACAAAACTTTGTGGGTATCAGTGGCATTATATCCTAAAAGTGCTTTTAATCAGTTTTATGAAAAAAAAAAGTAACTTCAAAATGACCAAAATTATGATTCTGGTTTGCTTATATTCTTCCATTCTAAGTTGTCAAGTTTCAACTTATGACCTTAATTTAATTTAATTTAATTTAATTTAATTTGTACATTTTTGAGAAGATGAATGCTTTCGGTTGTGTTTGATTTCTGTCACTGGATTTTTTACCGCAATAAATGTGTTTATAGGATGTGTGGAGTTCTTAGAGAAGCCTGCGATGGCCTTTGTCCGGCTCAACGAGGCTGTGCTGCTGGAGTCCGTTCTGGAAGTCCCCGTCCCCGTTCGGTTCATCTTTGTGCTGCTGGGCCCCACGCAGACCAACATGGACTATCATGAGATTGGACGCTCCTTCTCCACCCTCATGTCCGATAAGGTTCATCTTACATGCAATATATATCACGGTTTGTAGATTATTAGGGCCAAGTAACAAATATGTGAATAATTGGTCCCTATACTAAAGTGCTACTGTTCGTTATTTACTTGATTATTCGTTATTTACTAGGGTTTTAAAAAATATTTTTCACTCACAATTTCTACCTGATAAATAATTTCATATTTAAGTAACTTGACATAAAATATATAAAAATGCCCAAGTGGTGGTGCATGTAAATAAGAAATATCTTGATTTTTAGCTGTTGCTTTGTCCTGTGAAAAATATCCTGGCTCATTGGTTGCGAACCACTGTTACAGTGCCAAAAATGGCTCAACGTTGTATTTTTGTGTTTGCTTTTTCTTATGGTTCACTGGGTCATGGTGTTCAGTTCAGACTAGATCTTTTGCCATTTGGGATTTTAACAAATAATATTTTCACTAACACCTATAAATTTTATCCAGTCTTCTCCAGAATAGTGACAGATGATCTTGAGACCAAGCCACACAATCTCAGAATGGATTTTTTTTCTCATTGTTCTGTAAACCTGTAATGAATTGTGGTGGGACTGGCCAACAGGAATGGACGATATATATCTCTGCAGTGCTTAGGCCAGAGGTGCTCATTCCTGTTCCTTTAGATCTACCTTCCTGCAAAAAGTTCACCAAACACACCTAAACCAGTTAATTATGTTCTCCAGGAACAGAAATGAGCACCCTGGGCTTAGGCAAATTTGGGGGGGAAACTAGAGTATCAGTGCCATCATGTTCCTAAGAGTGCGTAGTTCTTGTTTCATTACATAAAAAATGAAATCCAAATGCCTTGGCTTGAAATTACACTTCTGGTTTGGAGTCAGTTTTGAGTCACGTTTTGCCTTATTACCTGTCCACCATTTTGAATTTGATTGAAAACAGTTTTTCATTGGTACTTCTGCAAATTTTGCCCAATCTTCAAAGTTGGGTCAGATGATCTCCAGACCAAACCACACAAAGGTCACTGAATGGATTTTTGATCTTCTTTCCCATTCTCCAATAAATCTGTAAGGAATTTTATGGCAAAGCCGCAAAGTAAAATGTACGTGTATTTCTCTAATTTGGCAAACTGAAACAAAACTTTGTGGGTATCAGTGGCATTATATCCTAAAAGTGCTTTTAATCAGTTTTATGAAAAAAAAAAGTAACTTCAAAATGACCAAAATTATGATTCTGGTTTGCTTATATTCTTCCATTCTAAGTTGTCAAGTTTCAACTTATGACCTTAATTTAATTTAATTTAATTTGTACATTTTTGAGAAGATTGGACATAATGAGTTCAGATGATCTTTAGACCAAGTCTTCAGACCAAGTTTTATTTTCAACCCCATTCTACAAATTTGATGACCGTGCTAAAAGATAGGAAGTAAGACTTTGTCTTGGCTTAGCTGTTGAATATTGATATGATGAGAAGTTTCAGGACTGCAACCTACTGGTCAAAAGTTGTTAAAATGATAAATTGACTAGTGACTTAAACCACTCAGGTTCACTGTTTTTCCTGACCTTCCACAGAACTTCCATGAGGTAGCGTACTTTGCTGATGATCGACAGGACCTGCTTAATGGCATCAACGAGTTCTTAGACTGCAGTATTGTAATTCCACCATCAGACGTTGAGGGAAAAGACCTGCTGAAGACCGTGGCCTCCTTCCAGAAACAGATGCTACGTAAGCGCAAGGAGAGGGAGCTCAAGAAATGCGGCAGTATTGTGACAGGAGCTGAGCAGGAGACCAAAGGTGGAATACCTACTGCATTTGTGATCACATTTTCAAGTTTGTCTGTTCGTTTAATGTTGACCTGTTCTGTTTGTGTTGTAGATGTAAGTACTGATGAACAGGATGATGAGGATCAGTTTGATGTTGATCCTCTCAAGCGCTCTGGTATTCCCTTTGGAGGTCTGATTCACGATATTCGCCGCCGTTATCCACGCTACATAAGCGACCTGAAGGATGCCATGGACACACAATGTATTGCTGCTGTCATTTTCATTTATTTTGCTGCTCTTTCACCCACTATCACCTTTGGAGGTTTATTAGGCAAGTGAGACAATGAGACAATTATCTTTGATAGTGGAGTCTGTTTAATATACAAGCCCATTCCACTACATTAGAAAAAATGCATGCTGTTGTAAATCATAATAATAAAAAGTCAGAATTATGACGTAAAAAGTTGAAATTATGACATTTAGAAAAAGTTGAAATTGACAAAGTCATTATGAGTTAAAGATTCATAATTATAACATAGTGGCCCGGTGTCACAGACAGGGCTTAGACTAAGCCAGGATTAGGCCATAGTTCAATTACGACATTTAAGTAATTTTTATAAACGTGCTTACAAAAAACATTACTGGGGTGTGTATTTTGAGAGAAAACAAAGACACTGATATATTTTAAGATCAGTCAGTGCAAGTTTCTTTCAGTTGAAACAGCTCAGAATTACATTTTAGTCTGGGACTAGGCATAAGCCTTGTCTGTGAAACCGGGGGAGTATGTCATAATTTTGACTTTCTATATCATAAATATGAATTGGAACTTGTCAGTTGTTACTTTTTATCTCATACTTAGGATTTTTTTGTTATAATTTTGAAACGCTAAAGCACTTGGTGTCATAATTTGACATTTTATGTCATATTTATGAAATAAAATGTCATGATGAGCTTTACTTTTTTCATAATTTTAACTTCTCATAATATTTAGTCTCTTTTAAATTGTAACTCTGACTTTGTTATAATTGGCTAATCTCATAATCATTTTTTTGTCCTAATTTTGACTTGCTATAATTGACTATTTTGATCTCATAATTTTGTTTTTTAATAATTTCTCTTATTTTCATGACATAAATTTTAGTTCTTAGAAGTATGACAATTTCCACTATTTCTGTCATGATTATGATTTACCAAAGTATGATTTTTTTCCCCGTAGGTGACGGAAATGAGCTTCCATAGTATATTTTCATACTTTGTTCCCATTTATTTAGGTGAGAAGACACAAGGCATGATAGGAGTCTCTGAGCTCATCATCTCCACGGCGACAGTGGGAGTGCTGTTCTCCCTGCTAGCAGGACAGCCTTTGCTCATAATTGGCTTCTCTGGACCACTTTTGGTCTTTGTTGAAAATTGATATGATGAGAAGTTTCAGGACTGCAACCTACTGGTCAAAAGTTGTTAAAATGATAAATTGACTAGTGACTTAAACCACTCAGGTTCACTGTTTTTCCTGACCTTCCACAGAACTTCCATGAGGTAGCGTACTTTGCTGATGATCGACAGGACCTGCTTAATGGCATCAACGAGTTCTTAGACTGCAGTATTGTAATTCCACCATCAGACGTTGAGGGAAAAGACCTGCTGAAGACCGTGGCCTCCTTCCAGAAACAGATGCTACGTAAGCGCAAGGAGAGGGAGCTCAAGAAATGCGGCAGTATTGTGACAGGAGCTGAGCAGGAGACCAAAGGTGGAATACCTACTGCATTTGTGATCACATTTTCAAGTTTGTCTGTTCGTTTAATGTTGACCTGTTCTGTTTGTGTTGTAGATGTAAGTACTGATGAACAGGATGATGAGGATCAGTTTGATGTTGATCCTCTCAAGCGCTCTGGTATTCCCTTTGGAGGTCTGATTCACGATATTCGCCGCCGTTATCCACGCTACATAAGCGACCTGAAGGATGCCATGGACACACAATGTATTGCTGCTGTCATTTTCATTTATTTTGCTGCTCTTTCACCCACTATCACCTTTGGAGGTTTATTAGGCAAGTGAGACAATGAGACAATTATCTTTGATAGTGGAGTCTGTTTAATATACAAGCCCATTCCACTACATTAGAAAAAATGCATGCTGTTGTAAATCATAATAATAAAAAGTCAGAATTATGACGTAAAAAGTTGAAATTATGACATTTAGAAAAAGTTGAAATTGACAAAGTCATTATGAGTTAAAGATTCATAATTATAACATAGTGGCCCGGTGTCACAGACAGGGCTTAGACTAAGCCAGGATTAGGCCATAGTTCAATTACGACATTTAAGTAATTTTTATAAACGTGCTTACAAAAAACATTACTGGGGTGTGTATTTTGAGAGAAAACAAAGACACTGATATATTTTAAGATCAGTCAGTGCAAGTTTCTTTCAGTTGAAACAGCTCAGAATTACATTTTAGTCTGGGACTAGGCATAAGCCTTGTCTGTGAAACCGGGGGAGTATGTCATAATTTTGACTTTCTATATCATAAATATGAATTGGAACTTGTCAGTTGTTACTTTTTATCTCATACTTAGGATTTTTTTGTTATAATTTTGAAACGCTAAAGCACTTGGTGTCATAATTTGACATTTTATGTCATATTTATGAAATAAAATGTCATGATGAGCTTTACTTTTTTCATAATTTTAACTTCTCATAATATTTAGTCTCTTTTAAATTGTAACTCTGACTTTGTTATAATTGGCTAATCTCATAATCATTTTTTTGTCCTAATTTTGACTTGCTATAATTGACTATTTTGATCTCATAATTTTGTTTTTTAATAATTTCTCTTATTTTCATGACATAAATTTTAGTTCTTAGAAGTATGACAATTTCCACTATTTCTGTCATGATTATGATTTACCAAAGTATGATTTTTTTTCCCGTAGGTGACGGAAATGAGCTTCCATAGTATATTTTCATACTTTGTTCCCATTTATTTAGGTGAGAAGACACAAGGCATGATAGGAGTCTCTGAGCTCATCATCTCCACGGCGACAGTGGGAGTGCTGTTCTCCCTGCTAGCAGGACAGCCTTTGCTCATAATTGGCTTCTCTGGACCACTTTTGGTCTTTGAGGAGGCTTTTTATAAGGTACTTTTTGTCTTTATGTTTCAACCATTATGAAGAAAAGGAGGTACTTTCATTACATTAACATCTATCTTCCTGTTCCTCTCTTTTCCATCTGCTATCTTCCCTGTCGCCCCTTCTTTGTTCTTCCTCATTTTCAGTTCTGCCAGGCGCAGGGCTTCGAATATCTCACAGGCCGAGTGTGGATCGGGTTCTGGCTCATCTTCATTGTCCTAGTGATCGTGGCAGCTGAGGGAAGCTTCCTCGTGCGATACATCTCTCCATTCACCCAGGAGATCTTTGCATTTCTCATCTCTCTCATCTTCATCTATGAAACCTTCTCTAAGCTAATTAAGGTACGTCACCAATACCAGCAGGTGCAAGTTCTGCTCTGAAATCTAGTGAGCTGCCTAACTACACAGCATTTTAAGGTATCAAAGGTGTGCTTCAGATGTGTAGGATGTTTTAAGAGGAAGGTATCTTCTTTTTGCCAAATTTAAAGGCAGCATTGCATGTGCTGAGACTATTTTATAATTATGACTTTTTATGTCATGAAAATAAGAGAAGTATAAAACTAAGGTGAATAAGAGAATGCATTGATTATCAAAAAGTGTCAATTAAAATATGTAGGTATTTTGAGTAAAATAATTAATAGTTTAAAAAATAGTTAAACTACTTAAAATAATAGTTGAAATAAAATCATTTTAATAAACAGCACACACATATAAATGAAATAGTAAATTTTGATTAGATTTAAATATATAAATCTAATGTATTTGTGTGCTGTTTGTTATAAAGAAGGTAATATTTTTTGGCTATATTTTAACTGTTGTTCTGAGTATTTTATTTGAATTTTAAAACATACATCTAATTAAAATGGACTATTTTACTCAACATTTAAAAAGAAGGTAATTATATTTTAACTGTTATTATAACTAATTGAATATTATTTAAAAATGTAACATAATTAACATTTGTTAAAAAATAAATAGATGTAATTAATTAATTTAATTTAATTTAAAATTAATTTACCCAAATGTATGTGTAGTTTTATGCTTATTAAAATATTTTTCCTCAGGTGTTTCAAGAGCACCCTCTGATGAAGAGCTACCCTACAGCTCCTGTACTGCCTGCCTTCAAACCCATAGACCCTCAAGGACATAGTGTGATTGGGGAACCCATCCTCAACCAGCCCAACACAGCCCTGCTGTCCTTAGTGCTCATGATGGGAACCTTCTTTGTGGCCTTCTTTCTGCGAAAATTTCGTAACAGCAGATTCCTTGGTGGAAAGGTTTGTAGTGTGGTGTTATTTTGTCAGCACAGTGAAATATCCTTTGCTTAATCAGCATTTTGTCTTGTTTTCCAGTAAAATGTAATCATTAAAATAAATACATGTATTTAAATCAAAATAATCAAGAGAAGCAAACCACTTTGTCATCTTTTTTTTTTCTTGCAAACTCCATATCAAGATTTTCTATGAATTATATCTTTCTTTTCGGTCTGTTTCTCTCACAAAGCTATTACACTAGTCAACATTTGAAGTGAATCAAAACCTTTTGGTAAAAAGAAAACCAAAAAACCTAAAACCAAAATGCATGATAATGAACTTTTTTTATCCACTTCAGATGTTCACCACTGTATATGGCTTTATTTAAGTGTACTTTAAAGGGTTAGTTCACCCAAAAATGAAAATTAGCTTGTGTTTTACTTACCCTCGAAGCATCCTAGGTGTATATGACTTTCTTCTTTCAGACGAATCCAGTTGCAGTCTGCGGGTGTTGCAGTTGAACAGTCCACAAGTCATCAAATAAAGCTCGCGCATTCATAATAATAAAACGTGCCGCAGACAGCTCCGGGGGATGAATAAAGGCCCCCTGTAGCGAATCCATGAGTTTTTGTAAGAAAAATATCCATATTGCAAACGTAATAAACACTTTTCTTTCTATAGGTTCGCTTTCTCATGTTACTAACGTTTATAATTCATTAATAAATGGTTCACAGGTGTTCACTTTACATTAAGGTTCACTTTTACAGGTTACTAACATTTATAGATAATTAATAAATGGTTCACAGGTGTTCACTTTACATTAAGGTTCACTTTTACAGGTTTCATTAATAACTGGTTCACAGATGTTCATGTTACATTAAGGTGCACTTTCACAAGTTATTAACGTTTATAAATCATTAATATATGGCTAATTACATTAAGGTTCACAGATAATATTGGAATTAACATTTTCAATATTAATATCTCATCAAGTCATGGGTGTGCTTTTATTATTTTTTCCCCAAAATAAAAATCAAGATGATAATTTCATCTTGATAAACAAAATATATCGGTTTCAAATCATTGCTGTGGATAGGCATCATGAACTTTTGCGGAGAATCATGGGTAAGGTACAGAGTAGATTCTGATAAGAAACTAAACTGATAAGAAAAGAAATTGTAAGAAAAGTGACACGAGTCATGAGATATAAATGAGAAAACCATAAATGCAACACCCTTCAGTCTTGCTATAATAATTAATTTTTGCTGCATCATGAAATAAATCAGGAATCTGGTTTTGAGTGAAATAAGTATTTATAAATATATTTGTAAGCATTTATAACATGTGAGTTAAAAATGGCTCACTATTTTGCAGGTATTGCATTAAAATCACCCTTTTACTCATGCATTTATAACTGCTTATCAATGATTTATAATGCATTTGTAAGTGAGTTATTAGTCATTTATTAACACCTTTATAAACCCTTTATAAAGGGAACCTTAATGTAAAGTGTTACCGTAAACTCTTTTAAACGAATCATTTCTGTTATTTAGAAAAGGCTGTGTTACGTCAAAATGTCTGTTCCAGAGCCTCGTGTTGTACTGTAAAGAGATGAATTTACAAATCTTGTAGATGTGGCAGGGCTCCAAGTCTGTTCAAAAGTGGCACTCTTAATTCAACATGGTAATGCATGTCCTGCATATTTGCTTGTTTAAAAGGAAAGTGTTGCTTGGCTTGGAATCCAATTCCAGAGAACCTATTTCTGGAACTGGAAAGAGCTGTTATCTGCTATTTATAGCCAAGTACAGAAAACACATTCAGATTCCTCCTTGATGCATGAAATCACACTTTAAATGAGGGAGAGTGACATCACTGTCTCGGACAAACACACAGCCACATTCAGCTCCAAAAATCACGCAGGCGTGACTTCCAACCGTTTGTAACACTTTCAGGTAAAACAGCGGCAGAATCACGGTATGCTTTTCACAGTGATTTAGCAGTATATGACTATAGTGCTTAAATGAGAGATTTAAAGAGAAACATTTCAACATTGAGATGTTTTGTCTTTGTTTTCTCTCCATTTTCTGAGTATAAACCTCCATAACACTAAGAATGTCATACTGATGACAAATGAACAGCTCAAAACAAACAGATGAATAATCTCAAAGTGGAAAAAAACCCTCACCTCAGGCATGGCCATGTGCTCAGAGAACACTGCTCTCCTTTCAGAGTACCTGTAGGGTTTGCACATGGCAATATTTTAAAATTCCCAACAGAAATGTGTTTGGAAAAGGGTAAATTCAATTGTAAGTGTGTGTGTGTGTGTGTGTGTGTGTGTGTGTGTGTGT